TAAGAAAATCTAAGACTAAGAAACTAAGCTACAACTAAGCTAACAAGCCAAAGAAATATAGAGAATGAGCAAAACTTAAAGGCTGCATCTTTATCTGATAAGATAAGCGTCAAGGTGCTCGTCGTGCACCATAACAACATTGAATGTTAAATAAGTTCATAAATAAACAAATAGTTGCGCGCTAATTTATTCAACTAGATGAATATATAAATTTTTGCTTAAAACTTAACCTGGCTTAACAGAAAAGATATAAAAGTTGCGTTTCAAAAGAGACAGCCATATGGATAAACTAAAAAAGAAAAACCTTATGTAAATACAAAATTTTATCCAAATTGTTAGGCCTGTTGGCTGTTTCCGGGATACACAAAATAAATTTATATTTATTTATCTATATACCTACTAGCAAAACCTGCAGCTACGCCTGCATTCAATCTACAAAAAAAACTCATTTTATGTTATATATCGTTCATACAAAAATACTAAAATCGTGATTAAAAAATGGTAGGTGCGGGTAGGAGGGTGAAAAATACTTTACGACCTATTCTCATAGCTACCAAATATTATTATGTATACAAAAAATTATTAAAATTGGTCGAGCCTTTCCGGAGGAGTGCGACCACAAACACTGTGACACGAGATATTTATTTATTAGATATATGTACAAGAACTGCTCATTTAATATTATAAGATAAGATAATAATATTGTCACGATTTATAAGTTCTCGGATTAGAAATTAAAGAATTTCTTTTGCGCTATAAATGTATATTTATTAAATATATATAGTCTTTATTGGTTTTGGTTCTCGAGGGTCACTTTTGGCGGATCACAAATAACGCAATACATGCACAGTTCTCACTTAACTCAGTCTCTAAGCACTATTTTCCACCACTATTTACTCTGACGCTGTGACTTTACGATATTTTTCCATACTTTTTCGTATTTATTTTTTCGTATTTATCTTCTCTTAACTCCGAAATTCAATTGAACTCTCGACATACTAAACAAAGAACATTCTATAATTTGAAATTTCGAATACTTTCTTTTAATTTCAATTCCTTTGTAGAGAATTTTTGTTCATGTCTCACACGGCAATTTTCGTTAACTATTCTTGTCGTTAATTGTCATACGATAACATGTGTCTTAAAATGTGTTAAGCTACTTCAGGCGTGGCATTTTTACAAACTTTTATTTAACTTGCAATGTTTGTATGTATGTTTGTTCGGGTCAAATCTTACGACTGAATTTTAAAGCAGTTATCCTCAACTGATTGAGCTGAAATTTATATTTTTTAGTTTAGATGACAATGCATGGTTAGATAAGTGACGCCGTTCTAAATCCAACATGGCTGACTCCCAATGTTTTTTTATGCACCTCCATGATGTGGATATCAATTGAAAGGGTTTGCTGAGAAGTCTATATATATAAAAGAAAGTCGTGTTAGTTACTTCGCTTATAACTCAAGAACGGCTGAACCGATTTAGCTGAAAATTGGCAGGGAGGTAGTTTAGAGCCAGGAGAAGGACATAGGATACTTTTTATCCCGTTCGACCGCGTTCCAATTTTTATGATATTTTAATTTTTGGATTTCTCTTAGTCCGGAATAGGTAAGTATTAAAACATATAATTAAAATGTGAGAAAGAAAGATTTTTTCTTTTTATATCTATTTAAAACGTACCTAGCGACGAACCCGAGCGAAGCGAGGGTGAGCCGCTAGTATATTAATAAATACTTAAATTATAAAAATAAACTTTAAATTAAATCAAACTCATATATTACATAATCTATGATGATATAACAGCTAGTTTTTAAAAGTGTTTTTTATATTAATTTATTAATTATTATTTTTTGCTGTAAAGTTGTTACACATTCTTCACTACGCGACAGTATTAAATATCAAGACACAATATAGCCATTAAGTTTTTATAGGCATAAACTATAAACTAAGTAAAAATAAATGGAATATATACGAATACCTATCTCCTAAAAAATAATATGAAATAATACTCGTATATCGATATGGTGCCTAAAAATGGTATAAATAAAATATCCCTAAACAATAGAGATCATAACCAAGTATATTTCTCTACGTCACAAAATGTATATTTATCTATTTGTTTTTATAGGAAAATTGAATCAAAATCTCAATCTCAAAATTCGCATATTACAGATCATTTTTACAAAATGTAATAACTCCTATAAGGTGCAATTTACTTAACTTCATGTTTCATAATTGATCTTCCAATTGTTATAAATAATTCAATATTATATCTACATAAATAAAAATGAATCACCGAAATACGCGCATAACTTGGATCGACTGCACTAAATTGGATAATTATTTTATTTTTGTTTTATTGTTAGGAAGTTTTGTATAGAATAAAATTAACAGATTTTTTTTTACTAAAATAAGTATTCTTTTAACTCTCATGATATGAAAAGTGAGTGAGTGGAATAAATTTTATCCCGGAAATCAACCATTAAGGGGGTGAGAATGGGGATGAAAGTTTGTATGGGGAAGCAGGCTAGGGACGAACCCGAACGAAGCTAGGGTGAATCTCTAGTATACGTATAATATGTTTGTCACAAGTTTTTACTGAGGCATACAAGTTGTAAGTAATTCTATTATTAATGTATACGGGTGATACACTGTCATAGCGCACTCAGTTAACTTGCCTCGTACATAATCACAATAACAGTCAACACCGAGGAGTATTATATATAGGGTGTAACTTAAGCTCACTTGTTTATGCTTTATAGTATTAATAGAAATAATTAACAAAAACTTATGAGCAATTTTATATTTATATGATAATACTTAACTATAATTATTTCGTGTAACTTTAATATAGAAGAAATAACTTAGGTAAGTAAAAACTATATAGCTATACATTTCAAATTTCGTTCCAAAAGCTTCGATGAACTTTATTTAATCATAATTAAAAGGAAAGAGAATTTAAATATATATTTATATTTGAAAAGTAATTGAGGAACATGGATCATAAAAGCAACCTGTATATAGGCATTTCGCTCAACCCTTTCCCAAAAGTAATTATCATTGGGACTAAACTGCAATCAAAAACGTACCAAAAACTGCTTCAACGAGATACTTGTAAATATTACAGCAGCTATCGAATTAGATCGTACGATGTTAATCATCCACCTCACCCCCTCCAAGATAATTACCTCGCAAAACAACAGCATTAACCGAAAAACGTAATCTAATTTTAATTTTAATAATGGTAACCCTTTCGGGAGAACAACTTTTGAATTTCCGTTTTTAGCGGTTGGCTTTATTAGCGTTTGTTAAGAGAATGACGGTGAGGATTACTTTTAATGTCAACTCCATTTTGGGTTTGTATTAAATTAGCTACACGTCACCGGTAAGTCCAGACAACAAACTATTTGAACATATTTAGAATTGTTTAGAAATCAACTAACTGCTATTAAAGTACTTTTGAAAAATCTACTTACTATTGATAAAAATATTCAAAAATCCATTCTGGCCCATGCCTGCCGGCCACTTTCAATATGTCCCTTATTTTTCCTCAAATGTATGCAACATCGATCAGTAAAATGACCAATAGAAATATTATAATAGTAATTTTAATTTCCTTTTTTACATTTCGTAATGAAAATATTGTTCAATGATTTGTTTATAATACCTTCATTAGAAACTAGCGACTAACCCTCGCCCCGCTCGGGTTCGTCCCTACTTACGTTTTAACGTTTAGTATCGATTTCTCAGAGATGAGATATTTTCCCGTATTAAAAAGTATCCTATATGTTGATCGGGATAACCAGCTATCATACCAAACTTCATTAAAATCCCTCCAGTGGTTTTTCTGTGATGCGGTAATAGACAGACAGACAAAAATTCTAAAATCTATAGATTCGGCCTCTGTATCAATAATAATGTCCATTTCAATAAGATTTTTCAAAAAATATTTAATGTACAGATTCGGCTCAGTTAGAATTTTATTATATGATATTCACAAGTGAATATGAAAGTGGTTTTGATACGATTAATATTATTGTATTATAATATAAATTAATTTAAGGATAACATTTTTAGAAAAGGGTCAAAAGAGCGATTCATCTTTCCAGCCTACGCCAGACAAAACAGTTTCGTAGCTCAACTCTCATTGCTACAGTAATTTGTTAAAGTTAACGCATGAAACGACAACCTTGGGGTAAACACAACCAGCACTATTAGAAATACAATGAAATACGAAAACCCTCTTCTGTTCCATCATGGTCCCTATTGTACGAAGGGAGAAGCAGATCATTTCAGGTTGGCTAAGAAGAAATGATGGCTAGAATCATTTATCATTTTAATACGAGCTCTTCCCCTTGTTAATTGGCTGTCGAGGGAATTAATAGATACAATAATATTTTCATTCTCAATTTTGTGGGTTTATGCTTTAAATTATTGGTTACTTAAAATATTGACATTATGTAAAATTTATAATAAAATGTGAATTATCTATAAAAGTTACATCATTTAATTCGATTTTATGAGTGTGGTTTAGTGAAATAATAGTAAACTTACTTCTTTAGACGATCGTCTAAATATTAAGGCAAAGAAACAGAATACTTACGGAATTCTTTTATACATGCCAAGAACATCTTCGTCAGATCATCCCAGGAATTTTAAAAACGAAACAAGAAAAAAGCCGCTTCAGTCACGTTCATATTTTTGTATATAATCCCCCTAAATATATATTTCGTATAGTGCATGAAACATGCAAAACAGTCACCGTACTTGTTGTATTTTATACGACATTTTGTCATCTGGCCATACTGTTCGCGGACGTGGTTAGGGTGCGTAAAATCCAAAGAGTACCAAATAAGTTAGAAGCAAGACAGAATTTTCTTATATTTACTCCGTTTTAACCGCTTTAATATAATTATTTTGATTTCTTAGCTTTTCTTTAACTTATAAACTAAGTATTAACATGTTTAGATGCTATGTATAGTATGATATTCATAAACGCTTTACATTTTCTTCTTCATACGATGACAAAGGTCCAAACGATGCCCATCCACAGCCATGTTAGGACCTGTATTATGATCAAGTTATTAAAAAATCTATATTTAAAGATATTTAACGAAAAATAAGAATGAACGATAAGCATAGCAGTTGTAAATATGTTCACAAAATGTATACATATAATAAAATTCTAACTAAGCCAAATCTGTACATTAAATATTTTTTGGAAAATCTTATTGAAATAGACGTTAATCTTGATACAGAGGCCGAATCTATAGTTTTTAGAGTTTTTGTCTGTCTGTCTGTCTGTCTGTTACCGCATCACGAAAAAACCACTGGAGGGATTTTGATCAAATTTAGTAAAATGATAGCTGGTTATCCGGGTCAACATATAGGATACTTTTTACCGCGGGAAAATAACTCATTTCTGAGAAAAAATACAAAAACTGCAATGTAAGAGTATACTAATATGTAAAACCTAAGAATTTGGTTTTTGGTCATCTGAACGCGGGCGGAGCCGCGGGCAATGCTAGTTAATATATAAGATATTAATTTTGAGCAAAATCACAAAATCAATAGATGGCGCTGTGATTAGAATGATTACAGTTTTAATACACCTAATATCGGTCTTCCATTCTAAAGTATATATTTAGTTATTTTACTATGAAGCCAAAAAAACAAATTCATGTCCGTACATAACATAACCATATAGCTATATTTGTCGAATATAATATTATCTGCAAATAAAAGAGATTTATTACTTCTGTACAATCCAATGTTGTCCTTGGGAGTAGGGTTCCCTCTGGGTTTATAATAAAACTCCAGTGATTGGATTGTGGTTGAAAATTTATTTTGTTCGATACCATATATACATATCATCTTAACCAAACGATAGCGCGTTTTAGATTACCCCCAATGCCATCTATTAACAATATATGTGCAAACATTTAAATTTTAAACATTTAAATTTTGAATATAATGGAACGCGCTTTTATACTATGCCAGTCCTAACTTATCGTATAGAAACTTATACATACCGCCCACCATAAGGACATTTTGTCCTTATAAAGCATTGCTCACCATGAATGCTTTGAGAGAAAAAGCTACATTTGTTTTGTAATCGGAAGAATACATAGTTTAGATGTTGGTCGTTTTAACATAACATTTTTGTTTGTTTTAATTGTGACTACTCTAACAATTCTATCCAAACCCGGATGAGTATCAATAATCTTTCCGTATACCCATTTGCAAGGTGGTAAACCATCTTCCTTTACAACTACAATGTCACCAATGGAAGGCTGTGACGATTGTGTAGTCCACTTATATCTTTGAAGGAATTTAGTCAGGTATTCCTGAGACCATTTTCGCCAAAATTCCTGCAGCATTCGTTGGATGTAGGTGTGACCAATCAATTGAAATTTGGTCAATTCCGCAGGATACAGACCTCTAGAAGGACAATCTGCTGGGTTCTGCTTTGATGTTATGTGTGTCCATTGATGCGAATCCAAAGAACACAAAATCTCTGACACACGATTTGCTACAAATACCTTCCACCTGCTAGGATGACTGTTGAGCCACGCAAGAACAATTGTTGAGTTAGTCCACGCATGCAAATTCATTTTATCAATACCCATGACCTTAGCTATTTCTAGAAGTAATCTGGTTAATAGAACTGCACCACATAATTCTAGTCTTGGTATTGATACCTGCTTTACTGGAGCTACCTTCGTGCGAGCAGTTACCAAGGAGCTATGAATGGTTCCGTCATGATTCACCACGCGCACATAAACAACTGCCGAGTAGGCCATCTTGGAAGCATCGCAGAATCCGTGCAACTCAATAGATGCCTTATCTGGAGTCATGCCTAGCCATCTGGGTATGTGAAATTTGGACAAATTTTGAAATTCTTCACGGTAAGTAATCCATTCATTTAATAAATTTGTAGGTACTTCCTCATCCCAAGCTAAACCAGCTAGCCATAGCTTTTGTATCATTATTTTTGCTATTACGATGCTTGGTGCCAACCAACCCAATGGATCATATAAACGAGAAACATCCGCTAATATTTTTCTTTTTGTCACAGGTTGCTGCAACGCTGGAAGATTTACCGAGTACCCAAAGGAGTCACTGGTGCGGTCCCAGGTAAGTCCTAGTATTTTCATGATATTGTCTAATTTTAGCTGCAATTCTTCTGCTATTTCTTCATCCTCATTTTCCTTTTTTATCTTTTCTAATAGAACATTACTATTGCTTGACCATTTTCGTAATTTGAAACCACCTTTGCTTAACATAGAATTCATTTCATTGTATATTTTAAGTCCCTTTTCCACAGATTCACATCCAGTTATTAAATCATCTACATAGAAGTCATTCATTGTTACTTGAGCTGCTAACGGATAACAATCGCCTTCGTCGATTACGACTTGCTGAAGAGCCTTAACCGCAAGATATGGAGCTGAAGCAGTCCCAAAAGTAACAGTGAGCAGTCTGAAGTGTTTATCATTACCAGCACTATCTTTCCACAGAATACGCTGGAAGTCAGTATCTTGATTTGCGACTTTTATTTGCCGGTACATTTTTTCGATATCTGCTACTAAGCAAATAGGATGCTGCCTCCAACGAATCATGATATGACGCAGATCTGATTGCAGACGCGGACCAACTAACAAACAATCATTTAATGAAACTCCATTCTTTCCTTTTGCAGAAGCATCGAAAACTACCCTTAACTTTGTAGTGTCCTTGTCTTCTCGTATCACAGCATGATGAGGTAAGTATACTGTATTTGGCTTATTTACTTCTGATTCTGGTACCTTTTCCATATGACCTAACTGTAGATATTCTTCCATTACTGCTTCATATTTATTACTGAATTCTAGATTTCTTTTTAGCTTTAATTTTAATGTATTCCATCTTTTTTCAGCTACTTCCTTAGAAGAACTGAACATGCAATCTGGGTTTTCCATCCTGAAAGGTAAGCGAACTATATATCTACCGTCTTCATCTCTTTCAGTAGTACGAGCAAATAGTTCTTCGCAAACTTGTTCTTCATGTGTCATTCTTTGTTGCTTTGTTAGTTCCAGGTCAGATTCGAGTTCCCAAAATTGTTTTAGCATGTCGTTGTCGTCAGTTCGACAATGAAAAGTATTGAACTCCGTATGATTTTCCTCCCTGGTTGATGTAGTTACTTCACCCGAGACAATCCATCCAAACGATGTGTTCTGGACTACCGGTGAACCTTGAGGTCCCTTTTTAATACCCTCCTGAATTATCTTGTCATAAACTTCAGCACCTAACAAAACGTCTATTTTGTTTGGAGTGTGATAATTCGGATCTGCTAATTCTATTTCAAGAGCTTCAAGCCATTTCAATGCAGTTATTCTCTTGGCTGGAAGAAAACTAGTGATTGTTTTCAAAACATAAGCCTTTACTGTGATATTATAATTTGGATCAATCATTGATTTAAGTTGAATAAAGACCATTGCTTTTGGTGACACATTACTATTACCCCCTAAAACTGAAACTTGTTCCCTTATAGGAATTTTCTTTAGTCCCAGATATTGGACTGTCGCTTCAGTTACGAATGACGTCTGTGACCCTTGATCTAACAACGCTCGAATTATATAATGTTCTCCCGTTTTCGACGCGGCCTTGACTAACGCAGTGGCTAGCAACACCTGATTACGAACTAGTCCTGTCGAAAAGAACGTTGCTAAAGGAGTTGACTCCATCTCGTTGTTTGATTCTGAACTTGATGAACCAATGTTACCATTATTATTTTTAGTTGTTTCAGCGTTGGCTCCAGAAATACCTGAACTTGGTGGATGTAATAGCGAGTGATGCTGACGTTTGCAAATACGGCATTTGTTTGAACTTTGGCAGGATTTGGCAGAATGATTATTCCCTAAGCAATTGAAACATATGTTATGGGTTTGGACAAAATTGCGTCGAGCGTCTACAGTTTCATTAGAAAAACGCTTACAATGTATAATCCTATGATCCTCAGAACAAAATGCACATTGAATCTTATTAGCTGAAGCTACAAAAGTTCTAAATTTATTTACATTATTATTATATTGAGAATCTTTGGTTACAGTAGCTGATTTGGTGTCCAAGAACTCTAAGGCTCGATAACGATTTGTAAGGAATTCAGAAAATTGGTTAAAGGTTGGTAGCTCTTCAGATGAATTATTATTTGTTACAGAAAATTCCCACTGTTTCCTGGACTCCGAATCGAGCTTTAAGGTAAGTATATGAATAATAATAATATCCCAAGTGCTTACATTTATACCTAAATTGGTTAATGAACTTAAACAATCATTAGTTGTATCAATAAGATTTTTTAAACAATTAGCTGACTCTGATGTAATATTTCTTTGACTTAATAAACGTTTCAAAATAAAATGTGACAAATATCTTTTATTATTATATCTAGAATTAAGTAATGACCAACACCTTTCATAATTTGAATCTGCTATAGGTATCTGTCTGAGCAGCTGTTCGGCCTCACCAGATAAATAACCTTTTAGATAATGCATCTTTTGTACATTGTCTAGTTCTTTATTAGTGTGTACAAGCGATACAAATAAATCCCTAAAAGTGGTCCATTCAGCATATTGACCATTGAATGTTGGAATAACTATACGGGGTAATTTAATGTTAGATGAATTAGCATTATTTACATTTGTAACTGAATTATCATTACTTGAACGATCAAATGAGGCAAGTGTTTGTTTCAATTCAGTCATATGATCGATATACAATTCTTCCACACTTCCTATTAAATCCTCTTTAAAATAGTTATTGTCAAAACCTTGAGATAACTTAATTATATGATTATGGTTATCACTAAACTGAGACCATAATTGGTTTAGAGTTTCCATTCGGATCTCTACATACTGAACAGTTATGCGATCCTTAGGAGACTTTTTGTAATTTATCCGCGCTTTATGCATACGATCATATAAATTTATTTGGACTTTAATTAAACTATCCATTATAATTGAATTTCTAATATTTTACCTCAAGTACAAAGTTTCAAATTTTACAAGTTTTTTTTATAATTTAATTTAGCTCTTATTCTAAATTACACTAAATGTTAAAAGTACGAAAATGTTCTAAGTCCAAATTTCTTCACTAGTAATATTTACTAAGTTAAATCACTCCTAGCATTAAAGTTCAATTTCACTAATATAGTTTCTTCATAGAGAAAGTAGGGTTCCCTCTGGGTTTATAATAAAACTCCAGTGATTGGATTGTGGTTGAAAATTTATTTTGTTCGATACCATATATACATATCATCTTAACCAAACGATAGCGCGTTTTAGATTACCCCCAATGCCATCTATTAACAATATATGTGCAAACATTTAAATTAGAAACTTATACAACTTCTCTATAAAATATACTAAACAGAATTTTCTAGAATCGGACAACAAAAGTTTGTGTAGGAATGTGTGTATGTTTATGAATACTTCATCCTGAAATACTGGATGGATTTGCATGTTTAGTACACATTTAGATTATGACCTGGAGTAACAATGAGACACCTAAAGATACCATAGCACAGAGAGGGGTAAGTCGCTAGTATCTTTACTAATATTATAAAGCGACAGAGTTTGTTTGAACGCGCTAATCTCAGTAAATAATAGTTATCGCGCTAACTACTAATTCGATTTGAAAAATTCTTTTTGCATTAGATAGCCCGTTTATTGAGAAAGGATATACCATCGCGGAAAAATGTACAGTTCCCGTGGAATAGATATGTTTTAATCTAGGGACGAACCCGAAGCGAAGCGAGTGTGAGTCGCTTGTTAAATACAACTTAATAAAAATAAATTTCGATATAGCAAATTACATTTAAATACAAAATAAAGATATATTTTCTAAATAAATATTTTTAAGCTTTCCTCGTTTAAGACCTATACAAAGTTATTAGATTACTAAAGCATAATATTTTCCATTAAAAAAAAATTGATTTAATTTCGATTTTTTAATTTAGATACTCATTAATACTAAGTAATCATTTAACTAATTCAGAAACATTAAAATTACCATTTCAAAATTTATATAAGGTAAGAGCCGGATAGTTGCCCTACTTTTTTAAAAACTCCAATTACATAAAAATTAGTATCTACTTACGATATGCCCCGTGTATAATAAAACATTGGTCCTTAATCTTTCATTGTGACCTATTTTTTTAAACACAATGAATATTGTTTTCCAGTAAATCCTGTTTTATTTGACCTCTACAAAAGGGGATAGTTGCCCTCTGTGGCGGATAGTTGCCTTATGTTAAAAATGCTTTGGGGGGATACTTGCCTCATGCGGGGATAGAAGACTCATTATGAAATTGTTGCATTTTTTTTATTAAAACAAATTTATGTAAATTTAATCAACCATTATTAACAACTTTTAAAATCTCCTAAATTTATGTTATAAATAATAATAAACTTTAAAGATAAATACAATATGGTAATCAACTTTGACACTAATATTAAAATTTGTGGGTAGGTTACCATTATATATCACCAAAAACAGTTTAAAAATCATCATCAATTACGAAGTCATAACTTTTAATTTTCCACATCTCACACAATATTCTTTGAATGATGAACGAGTTTCCTGGAAATACAATCAAGTATGATTTGGATTTAGTATTATTTTAATTTTTAAAACATTTACAATAATCATCAACTGAAACTTTATCATTCGCTTTTTTATTTTTGTATTAATGTTAATAACTTTTACTGTCTTTTCAGTCTCTTTTATCATCTTTAATTTCTTGCTTCTTTTTTTGTACTCCTTTAGTAGCATTTTCTTTGCCTATTTTTGTATTTAATATATTTTTTTCATTTTCACTCTCGGAACTATAAGTTTGTTATTTGTCATCGTTAAAGCTCTTTTTCCGCTCAGTTTAATTAAATCTATGTTTTAAAATTCAGTTTCACTGCGAAAGAAATCGTCATAACTTTTGACCTTTACTTTCGTTTCGACCTCTTTTCTTCATAATTATCATCTCGTTATCAACTGATTTATTTTCTACTGTCTTAAAATCTTTTTATTTCGTTGTCTCCATTCTATTTCCTTTTGTAACGTTTGTTTCTTCTTCTTTATCCTGTTTTTCGCCTACCTACAACACTAATTGTCCTTAGGGCAACTATCCGCAAAATAATATGGGGCGACTATCCTTTTCGGTACGGATACATGCCCTTATATTTTGAAAAATAAATAAATGTTATTCGACAGTTTAAGGTAATAGGTAGTGTAACTTAAACTTCAGTACACGCGTAGAAGCAAAAAGTTGACTGAATCTACAACTGTAAAAAAAAATTCTATAGAAAATACACACGAATATAATTTCGACGCTCGTCAACGTCCTGCCGCGGAAGATTTTCGCTCACACGGACAAAACACGTTTACCTAGTCCCATTACTGGCGTCGTCCTAAGGTCTGTGGAAGAGGCGCTTCAAATTACAGAAGAGCACTAATATCAGGGACATCTCTAATATAGCGAATTGAAAACCGGGGCATGTAACCCACTGGGGCGACTATCCGGGTTTTACCCTACCAAACGTGTAAAGTAAATTGTCCGTAACAACTCCTGTCCATCTGTATGTGTATCTGTCCATGCGTACTAATCGTATAAATGCCAAAGTAAAAAGTTACTTCTTAGTGTGAAAATCCATATTTTCTTTACTGCTTGATTAGCTTGATTTTCTTACACGGATTATGGATAAAAATTTCTACTAAACAGATAAACCAATTTTAATAAAATGTTAATTAAACCCTTAGGAATAGAGAATTAAAAAAATCTATCCGTAAGCCCAAAGCCCTTGCTTGCAAAACCAAGTAAAGCAGATTCAAGCACATAAAGGACTTTCATATATGTGAGTTCCATTTTCAACATGATTACTAATACGATGAAGGAAAACTGTATGCCTGAAAGCACTAGTCTTCGAAAAACGTGTAAAATCCGCCAATTCGCATTTGATCACCATGGTACACTATGGCTTTAAGACCAGTGTTCAGCAGAAGAAGTAGAAAAAGGGTGGCAAATTTATTTTCTTTTATTTGGCAAATACTATATGGTTAACGTAAAGATACGTTTATATAACTAAAGAACACAATAAGACCAAACTTAAAATATTGAGTACTAATAATATTGTGTATATGTATCTATGTACTTATTTTTTAGTTAAATAACGATATTTGGAAATTTATACTTCATAATTCAATTATTAACAGATAATTCAATTATTATTAAAATTTTATTAAAATAGTTTAAATCCATAATATAATAAAATTGTAACTAATCCGTACCGATCCGTACCTGTTGTTTGAACCAAATAGGCTCCGAAACTACTAAACTACTGAACTGATTTAGATGAAATTTTGTAAGATCGTGTGAGACCCTGATAAGTACTAGTTTAAGTTTTTATCCTGAAAATCATCCATTAAAGGGTGAAAATGGGTGAAAGTTTGAATGGGAAAACAAATTAGAAGCGATTGTGAGTCCCTAGCCGAATCTGTACATTAAATATTTTTTGGATCTTATTGAAATAAACATTATTATCGATACAGAATCCGAATCTATAGTTTTTAGAATTTTTGTCTGTCTATCTGTGTGTTACCGCATCACAGAAAGAAAACTGGAGGGATTTTCATGAAATTTGGTATGGTAAGCTGGTTATCCGGGTCAACATATAGGATACTTTTTACCGCGGGAAAATATCTCATTTCTGAGAAAAAATTCAAAATCTGTAATGTAAGAGTATACTAATATGTAAAACCTAAGAATTTAGTTTTTGGTCATCTGAATGCGGGCGGAGCCGCGGGCAATGCTAGTTATTAATAAAATTAGAGGGACGTTAGAAGAATTCGATTTTCATGACTTCAAAATATCAGAAAGTATTACGTACTTATATATGTTTTTGTAAATATACATCGATTTCTCGTAAACGGCTTGGCCGATCTGGCTATTTTAAATTATATCGTAAAACATATTATGCACACGGTAGATCTCGAGGTATAGCATTATATGGTAATGTAATACCATGAAATTTAAAATATGTAATCTCTCGTACATAAATCAATTTAAACTTACTATATTGACGTCATATGATGAAATAATGTTTTTAATAGGTACTATACGTATGAGGGTGAATTGTTTGGCAGTTTATCAACTTTACAGCTTTGCTTTCTTCTTTCACAATCGCTTCTATTAATTACACCTACCCTAAAAGCTAAATTTACTTATTTTATTCTTGTTTCCATTGCTATTCATAAAATTAATCACAAAAATCAACGGATAGTTATGTTAAGAAATATATAGTTGTGTATTGTTTTTCGAAACAACCGATTCAGTAATGTTAAGAAATAGTTGAGTGTTGCTTTTCGAAACAATCAATTCATGAATAGTAGTTATGGTTAGTGTTGTAATCGTCAAAGGTGCGGTCATGTATTCAACGTGCTTTTATATTAATACTTTTATATTCAGAACTTATTTATACTTTGCACTCTTTCGCGTTCTCATTTC